TCATAACAGGAATACAAAGGTAAGTATTTTCTTCCTTTTCAGAATCTACTTCTCTTACTCTGTTCATTTATTTTTCCTAGTTGTGTAAATTCAGTTTAGACACATTGGATATAAGTATCTTCATCTCTATAAGGATTTGTTTTCATAGCTTAAATGAATAAGTTGTTTAAGTCTTATTCAAGTGAATAGTTCTCTCACTCTTCTTCCTGTTTCAGTATTGCCCACTGGCTTGACTCTCCCTATGGCTGAGATTTAAATTTTTTCAGAAGAATTAAAGTCACTTCTCAGATTACTGTTTTCCTATCAGATTAATAGGTTGTTTTGTTCCTAGTACTGACTCCCTTGATTTTTATACAAACCCTCCAAAGCAATATTTCCTTGTCCTCAAGGAGTTTACAGCCTCCTCAGGGAGAAATATATGTAAACAATTTATAAACAGCACAATACAGACTATGATAAAGGTATAAATTGGATACATAAAAGAAAGGAATGGGAGGATTTCCTGGAGGAGGTGACACCGAAGCAAATAAAGGATACAAACTTTCATTTATAAGATGAATAAGATCTGGAAATCTAATGTACAGCATGGTGATTATAGTTAATAGTGCTGTATTCCATAAATTTGCTAAGAGAGCAGATCCTAAGTGTTCTCACCACACACACACAAAAAGGTAACTATAGGAGGCGATACACGTATTAATTAATTTGATTGTGGTAATCATTTCACAATGCATACATGTATTAAATCATCACATTGTACACCTTTAAAAATCACATTGTACAAACTAAATACATATAATTTTTATTTGTCAATTATACCTCAATAAAGTTGGAAACATTTTTATATATTTTTTTAAAAAAGAAGCATAAATTGTCAAGCCAAAGGAATTTTGTTGGTGATTGGGCAGAGAAGATAATAAGGAGATATTAGGGCAGAGCATTCCAGCTGGGGACACAATACGAGGAATTATTAACTGTTTGAAAAATAGCAGTATTACTGTAGCAAAGTGTGTTACAGCTCAGCATTATAGCTCAGTTATGACAGCAACCTGGATCCAGGCGACAGACCAAGCAGCACTCGGAGGGTTGGACAACTCAGGTTTATTAAACCAGTGGGCTGAGAGGAGTTATCACTCCAAGCTCTGGATCCCGTCTGTAGGTTTACACAGGCTTTTATAGGCTACCAGTCTAGACTTTGCAACATTTTGCAACATCATATGTAAATAAGGTATAACAAAGTTGACTAATTAGGAACAAGCTTTCTAGAAATGGACCAATCAGGAGTGAGAGAACTGGACCAATCAGGAGTGAAAGAAATCGACCAATTAGGAGTGAGAGAAATGGACCAATCAGGAGTTAGCTCAGGGAACCAATAGACTCTTAGGGGTAAGTTCCACTTTCTTAGAAGTAAGCCATTTCAGAGTTTAAAAAGTGAGATAATGCCACTGGGCCAGGGAATCAAATGGTACAGGCAGGAGGGTAGTGACT